GGCCGCTGCATAGCGGGGTTTCGTTAGAGGTGTCAAACTGAAACTCCCCACCTCCGGCCCTCTCCTCGCTTTTCCGCGTTTTTCGCGTTTTTCGCATTTTTCCCGTTTTTTTGCATTTTCTGCGTTTCTCGCGCCCGACGCGTTTTTCCCCACTTCTTCCAGTCTCCGGCTGCCGGCCGGGTTTTTCGCACCTTCCGGTGGGAGGAAGAGGAACTGAAAGAGATATTTTAGACTGCAAGGAACTGTTGCATAAATATCAGCGATATCATCTATATCGTTATAAAATGCCGGCGAAGGACGAAGGAAGAGAGGCCATCGCGAGGAAGGAGAAATCTTGGCGAGACCGGAAGAGGTCGTTAAGAGTCAACGGTGAAGAGGAAGCGGAAGAGGTCGAGATGGGTCGACGAAGGGACGAAGAGGGAGCAGAAAAGGGCGTCGCGACGGAGAGGTGCACCGAGTCGGGGCGCCGCCATTACCCCTCGGGAACCCCCGACACCTGTGCGCGGCAACTACTTCGCGTTCTTCCCCGTCTCAATGGAGCCGGGTGAATTCAGCCCCGACGAAGCGGCGTTTCCGCGCCAGTTGCCCCGCAGCCGTCCTGGATGCGCCGCCCCGGAACATCGGCGACCGTTCCTGCGACGTTTTTCGTGCCAACCGAGCCGAGGTCGACCCTGGAAGACCACCTGCGAGCCAGGTATTTCTTCCACAGTGAGAAACGCCCCCGACGAATCGCCATTGTCTCGAGATATCTCGATTCTATCCGAGAGTCGGTTACCTGTAGGAGGGTAAAACGGTTTAAAGCGCCCTCCCACCCCAGGAGGTGGTGAGGACCGATTTTGGTCGTTACTACCCAGGTCGTTTTCCCTTTCTACCGGTCAACCCCCATCGGATCGTGGAGTCTCCCCCGGGGCCATCCCCGTAAAGAGCCCCCGAGTCGTTGGGTCACCCCGGGGGTCGTTAACGAGCTATTTACGTTTTCGCATCTCGCGATTTATCGGCGCCGGGGGAGGTTCTCCCGGAAACCGCGAGCCGGCCGGGGACGCCCCGCCCTGGGAAGCGATTCCGCGGATCCCCGGAGAGGACGACGCCAGGTCGGTCGGCGTTTTATCCGCCGACGACGGTGAATTCCCCGTTAACGACCTTGATCGCGCGCTCCCTCCGCGCGCCAACTTTCCGGGGGATGGGCCGCTCGTTCCCGGGTTCGATAAAGATCCGATAAAACTGCCGCTACCGTAAACCACCATGGCCGATCTCGGCCTCGCGTACGACCGCGGACGTTACGAGGATGGAACTTTCCTTCTCGGAGGCGAAAGCCCGTTTCTTCCCCGGAGGAGTTCGGGTGGAAGGCGTCCAAATGCCTTCCGCAGCGTCTTCCGCAGGGTCCGCACCCCCTGCATCTTCCTCGCCCCGATCGGTCATGGGGTCGCGACATCCCATATCCCGTGAAATTTATGCCACGCCATTCTCATGATCACCCCTTTTTAATGGAGGAAAAAAAATTTAAAAAAATTAAGATCGTCCTCTCCGGTAGTTCTTTCCCAGTTGTCTAATTTGTAACGCCTAAACGGCTCTTTAAATTCCTGTAATGAATTCCCGTTAAAAAGCGTCGTTCGGGGGGGTCAATGGCGTGCCGCTTCGTTGGGAGACGTCACTCAAAGGGAGGCCATTGTGGTCGGGGTTCGGAACCAAAGGGTTAATTTTCCGAAACAATCGGGTTAATTTGGGGCGGCTCTCGCGTGGAAACTTCGAAATCCCCGTTTATGTATGTACATCCTGATCGACGGCGCTCCGGCGTTCGGAATAGAGCGGGATTTGAGAAATCTCGGTTTCCGGCACGGGGGCCTAAAAAATTCATCTCCCCCTTCGCCGACTTTTCGCTTCCGCTCGTTTAATCGTCGGGGGGTCGTATTTGCCGTTTGTTTCCGCTTCGGGGAAAATTTTCGGAATAATCCTCCCGTGGGGCCCTTCGAAAATTCCCACCCGTAGAAATTTCCTCCGCGTCGCCCGGGGCCGCATAAAAGTGGAACGAGCGGCGAACAATCGATATATTCAAATTCGCCCGAATCCGATGAATATGCCTCGTAAACATCCTAATGGGAGTGTAGGTGGACTCTACAGGGCGTAAAATGAATTATAATCCGCGTTTATAGAAACGGCGAAACCGGGTCGGCCGCGACTGGTAAGTAGATAAATTCATATCGCGGGGGTGTACATGAAAAAGTTTATGAAAGGGCTCTCTCGCTGGGACAAGCTGAATTTAACGGGGTCGAGATAAACTGTTAAATGTGGATGGCCCTCGCGGAACGGTCACTAAAACTTTCTTCCGAGGACGAGGAACGAGTCGGCAGACAGTCGGGGCATTTTTTCCCGCGACGGGTCTCCCGTGGAAAAAAGAAATAAAATCCCTAAGTCGAAGCTCCGGATGGGAAGAAAATTCACCGGCGAAAAAAAAAGAAGTCCCCTCCTTTGGGAGTCCGCCGAACCTCCCTCTTGGTTCCGCCTCGTGCTCGGTTCTTCACGGAAATCGGGCTCCCTGGTGTATACATTTTTGCCGGCGGATTACTATCTCGCCGTAAATTCCCACGGTACGTTTCGCACTTCCTGGGCGAAGGGGACACGGGGAAGATGGGAAAGATGAACCGAGTCTAGCCCGGTACGTGACGCTGATCCTTTCCTCAAACTCTCGAGCGGCCCCAGCTGGCAGTTCTTGAACGGGGGTTTTCCGCCACCCTTAACCTGGTTGCGGAGTCTAGGGTGTATAATCGTCACTCGACATCCGGACGGATGTACTTGGCGCCATGTGCCACCGGGAACCGATTACTCGATCGCTGTTCACCGATAGAGAGACCCCGAGGAAGGCCTCGAACACGCGCCGCGGCTCGCATTACCCACAAAGGGGACGAAAATGAGTTCTCGATAAAATATACGGGAAATAGGGAGGCTGGTCGAGGGTGAGCGCGTTATTGAAATCGTAAACTCGGCAATACGCTCATTTCCCCCCTCGGGGTGAGTCGGTGCACATTTTATTGCTCCGCTCCTCAAGGAAAACGGGATAGACCCGAGGACCGAGCTCTTGGAGATGTTTCGACCCTTTCGAATGTTTCGGGCTCCTCGAAATCGTAATAATCAGCTCGAAAGTTTGGCCTCGTCCTCTCGGATCTCTCTCCTGATCCTCTGGCAGGAGGCAGACCTTCCTCGACATCAAAAGAGAAGAGACACGGAACGGGTCGCCTTGCCAGTGATTTAACTTGGATTAAGGAAAGTACCAAGATTAATCCGAGACCCGGAAGGGGCTGAGTTGACCTTAATTTCTAATAACTTCAAGACGAGATTGGTTTGTTTCAGTTCGCCGAAAAGAAGAGAGAAAGTTTCCGGTGATACGGATCGAACCAACGGGAGAGATAACAACGGTTGGTGTTCCTTGGAATTGATTAACGTCGTTACAGTGACCCGTCAAAGGGAGATTCTTTTAATCCGCGTTTAAGCGTCGATGTGCGATTTCGACCTGAATTTTTAATACCAGTTCGGTTACGTTATTTTTCTCTATTTCGGGGAAACAAACAACCCAGGTAAAAAGTGAGTATTTATTCGGAGGGGCAGGCGAGAATTCAATCTGGCCCGAAATCCGGAACAATGTTACCGGCACGTGTCACGAAAATCCCATCTAAAGAGTCTCCGTTCGAGCGGCAACTAAAATCAAATTCCGACTCCCGCAATCGAGGTCCGAACCAGAAGATACGTGCCAAAGGTTTCTTCGCCGTTCGGGAAAGTGGAAGAGAACGGGAAACTCGGAGGTGGATGTCTACCAGTACGGACACCGACCAACAATTTCCCGGCTCTTCGAATCGCCGCTTAGCCTGCCTTTAACCTAACACTAGAATCCAAAAGCCAATCCAGCTTAAAAAGCAGCACATAACGTGTGCTATTCGCGTTCAAAAGGGTATAAACGTAAAACTCCGGAAACAATCCCAAATCGTGTATTTCGTTCCGCTCCATTCGATGTTACATTGCATTCTTATCACTTCAGGGTAATCCAATTGGTCGGCGAGAAGAGTCGATGCGTTCTCCAAGACTTCCAATGTGCAGCTTGTTCGCTTCCATCCGAATCTCCATGTAGTCCCAATACGGTATCCGTGAGGGCCGTTAATATCTGATAACTCGAGGCGCCGACGGAAAGGGGACAGCTCCCAAGGCTTGGAGGTGAGAGAAAGGGTGCGTCAGGGGCGGGGTTGCCACCCTTTCGGACAAGAAAGTTGAAAAGCGTGGATCCTAGTCGGCCGGTCTGGGCAGGAGGGTGAGCCAATCGATATCAGTGGTGTGGGAAGGAAGGTGGTTCGCGGCCGCGAGAAAGAGAGGTCGAGATGGGGCGGCTGTGGGTGGACGAAGACGCGAGACCCTCGGATGCTGGCCAGAGTGGCGCCGCTATGCCGGGCGTCGCGCTGTCCCACGAGCCACCCCTGGTCCACTCTCCTAACCTTGCTCTCCCTCCCGGCAGCGCTCCTTCCCTGATCCCCGGAATGTCGTCCAACCCCTGATTCTCTCACCTAACCCCTCGTGTCGCTAACCGCCAGCGGACCTCCGAAGTCCTAGTCAACCTTCTCTTTCCTCTGGAACCTCCAATGGCCGCGGTAAATGGGGGTGGTCGAACTTGTCGCGGCGGTGCCGATCGCGTGGCGCCATCTGACAAAGCACCCCGGAAGTTGTTAGCAACTTTGGAAATTCACAACAGTCAATTGGAATCTCCTTGGTAACATTGGCCGTTGATAAAACAGATTCGTAACTTATGGGGTAACTAATTACCTTCTCTGCTCGAGAGCGCTGACTTTGAATTACTTCAATTATCAAGGTTATTTGTTCCAATTTCTAAATATAATGTGATGTTAAGCGTAGAACGGTTGATCACAATTTAAGGAAAGTTGCGGTTATTTTTCGAATCATTTATATTTGAGCAGTCCAATGTCGAGATCAGTCCAGGGAAATTAAAATTAAGTGAATCCCATTTTTATATCATAGTATTTAGCTTAAGGCTAGTCCAGAGGCAGTATTTCAGCTCGTGGCAGATAAACATTCTTCATTCGTGCTTTGAAATCAATAAATAACGTATATACAAGTGCTTTTGTCGTCGGTTTCTTCGGGCGAAGAGTCATTTTTCATTATGCAGCTAGCGATGCTCGGACAGTGGCGTTCCACTGTGGTGATTGTCGGTTATTCTTTATCATTTCTAAGCTCGTTCACTTCGGAAGCGTCATAGCATCGCACCGGTTAATATTGTCTACTGAATATGCGAGTATCGATGTGAAAATAAGTTAGGCGAGTATTATTTTGGCAAAGATATCCGGCAGAATTATTTACGGAACTCGGGGATGACCCGGATTATCCTTCGATGTAATAGAACGTCCTAATACAGCATAATGGCTGCGGCTGTCTTCTCTTCTAGAGCAGGTATTGGCTCGAGTTGGTCGTCTCTGTCTTTTCCAGATCCCCAACCGACCAATGCGATGCTAATCAAGTGGACTACGGCGGCACCGACAACGAGCCTGAAAATAATTTCGCGTTAAAAATTTACTTGAAACAGATAAAACGTGCCATGCAAGGGACCTTACCAAAACGAGTAACCAAGTTCAGCCGAGCCTTCGCTCGTCCACATATTGTCAATGTCCTCTTTTGGTAATACATTAGTATACAACTTTGTATAGTATTGTGCCAACCAAGTCCCGGTGCTCGTAATGCACAGCAGTACTGTAAAAATGATTTGTATTACAAATTTTATCAGGAAATATATTCCACGTCGTTTCCTAATGGCGGCTTTTTTCACTCACGTGCAATGAGGTTCATTAGATAGATTCCCGGTACGGCGAAAATCTTCGTTCTTGGACTCGTAGCTGTATTAAGTACCGCCAAAAGAGCCGCAAGTGCAGCAGCAACAAGAGCTGCGAAAGTCATAACTAAAGTACCGATCCAAAGACTCCAGGACATGACCGTTGGATCTTCTCTGATCATCTTGACCACTGAAAGTGCAATTTACATATCCTTAGTGATATCGGATCAACACAGTAATTATCGCTATTAATTGAGATACAAAGAAGAGGCTCATGGCTTTTTCTTTTTTTTTTAATCGTGGGAAGGTAAAATATTTTTTACCAGACACGTGGTAAGTCCTCCATCCGTAAGCAACGTTTAGCTCTTTCTTCCCTTGCAATAATCCTAGCTGCACTCTTCCAGCACTTTCCTGGGGATTTGGGGTTCTCCATGGTCGAGCCTCCACCCAGTGTTGAGTGACAAGGGCAGCACAGACCAGACCTCCTCCCAAGAGAGACAAAAAGAACGTCGCAAAAATGGTCCCTCGACGAAACATCGACGTCATTCTCGGTTGCCGAAGAGACGCACCGTTTTGAGGAAAACTCGTAGGAGCTGCAGATATACCAAAGAAAGTCAGTTACATCAGTAGCCCAAAATTAGAGGAACGTCGTAAACAGAGGATCACTGTAGCAAGATGAAATCATTGTGTATGCCGCGCAGCGGTCACATTATATCGTTGTCCCTCTTCCATACAATTGAAATTCTGTGCACCGCCTTGAGTGCAACGATTATAGCAATTACATAACGGACATGTCGAAGCGCTATTTGAAAAAGTAAAAGCGATGGAATGATTATAAGCCGTAAAAGGAGTGACAGCGCACGCGTAACATTTGCGCTTCTCATGTACGTGTTTCATGTTCATATTACGCTAAAGATGTACCGAACACTTTGTCATCCAGGCACGTTCCATCTCCATTGCGACCTCCCCGACCGTTGCACTATTAATAGCATCGTTCATTGAATTCATTTTACTTTCATTTAACGGAGCCTATTACGCCAAGACGTTCCTCATACTCGAACAATTTTAAAGAATATAAAAAAAAGAAGAATGTAGTCATGTCTCCCTTATCTCTGGCTCGTTAGAGGCAATAAGAATTCCTGGTTCGAAGGCTGCTAGGAGTCCTTGCGAGAGTCCTTTCACTTCCATTTCAGCATATCACGGAAGATATTTAGAGATATATCTGCAGCTTCTGGAAAGACAATGCGTTATTTTCCTATTACCTGGTCCTTGCGTCTCCACGAAGTGCACTTGGTTCAGGCTCTTGGAGAACTCCCCTTGCTTGACTTTCTGGGAAAATTCCGCCGAGCTGAGCCTTTTGGAGAACTTGACCCGACCGTTGCTCCTCGATTTGCCGACCTTTTGTAAGGACGAGGGTCGCTTCGGCCTCCTCGCGAAAGTGTACGGTATCGTGTACGGCTGGGCTACATAGAAGTAAATCGGCCGGTAGTCTTCTCGTAGCTGACGCACGCAGCCGCCATTCGTGGCGCAGCCGTTGTAGATGCTGGGCGGCCCGTTGCTGTACGCGTACGAATTTAAGTAATAGATGCCGCAATGGTTCGCCGTCTTTCGGTAATTCCCTTCCACGGTTCGGCAAGACTGGTGACCGGGAAGCTCTTCGTCGCTCCCGGCACCGTGAATCGCTCGATCCTGATCTTTGTCCTTATCTTCCGGCGCCGTTACCTTTCTCAACTCGAGACTCGTTCTTCCTATTTCAGTTCGGTCCCAACATCCTGGGATACTTTTTAGTTCGTTGCAAAAAGAGTATCAGCTGAAATTTTAAGGAACAATTATGAGGATATGTAAAGATCGTTAGTTATTGGGTTGATATTTTGCTACCGATTGGTGCATCCCCACTCACGTGTTAATCTTCTTCAATAAGCGATTGTCGCAGCCATTCTCCCTGTGGATTCTGCGGTGTCGTTTTTGGCGTAACATTAAATCCGCTTTCACCCTATAATTATTAACGCGATTCTGAGTCACTTAAACACAATCCCGGACTTCCGGATCAACGGCTAAACGACCCTCGCCATTACGTGACGCTTTTGCGTCCCTTTTACTACCGCCTCGGCCATTCTATTCCTGGACTTCTTTTTGAAAGTTCCTTTCAACTCCGGATATAAATTAACACCGCGACTAGAAGGACCAACTAACAACCAGACACTGAATCGAACACGCGAGATCGGTTACGCAGGAGCTCTTTCGAAAGGGCAGAAACGTATTCCGGGTGATTAAATTGCAATTGCGATTCGGTTACACCGTCCGTCCCCGTATCGGCTCCAGGAATCCCATTGACCAACGCGTTTTACCCCGTCAGCTCATCTGGAACTCTGCGAGTAGGTGTCCCCGTTCTCCAATGACCGGGAAGGAGGAAGCATCGGGTCGGATCCCCGCAAGCGCATTCCTCAGCAGACATCAGGAATCTCATGTTCGCCGCCGAGAACCATGGTCCACGAGTCGAGAGGAAGAGGACGCAGGATGAGTCTCGAAAACGGGGGACGAAAGTAGTACGGCGTTCCCGGATTCGGACGCTTCGGCCCCCTTACCGATCGCCGAAGAGAACCAGCCCACGATCTCGTTTCTCGGTCCGAAGGTCCATTCCTGCGGATAATTAATATATCGCTTCGTTATGATTAATGCCGGAATTTCAGCTAAGAGTCGTGGCTGATTTCGCGTTACCGCTTAGATCGGAGATCGACTCTCGGCCCCCACTAATTGTACACTCGACAGGGCACCGTTAACGCCGTTTCTTTTCAGACAGGAAATTCCGTACGTACGGTATCTCCCGAGACTCCTCCGAGGCTCCGAGGTAACTGAGCGGACCCGAAGCTGGATGAATAATCGGCCTCAGGTCGAGCCAGCTTTTTCTACGATCTTTCACCTGCCGAGAAGGGGGCAGCACCTGCCGTTACCGAGGTACGCCGGTGTGCAGGTAACGCCGGGATCCGTTAGCTTTCAGGGACCAGGTATGCTTGGCAACCTGGAAATTCAAAACTTTTGGCGTGCGCAATTAGAACCTATTAATGTTACTTCTCATAGAATGTTCTTTAAGGAACTTACTAAATTGTAGGGGATTCTTGTAAAGTATACCTCAGCACGTCTTTATCGAGAAGTGTTTTTGAATTGATTCGTTATTGTACGTTATTTCAAATCGCTCGTTTCCAGGTAATCGTGCAGGTGATTTCAACGGCCACTCCAGTGTTAATATCTGGGAAAAGGGGAATGAATTATACTTGCTACTCTGTTGCTCGGATATGTAGGAGTAAAAGGAGACTCTTGATTCTCGCTTAGGAGGTGTAATGTAATTATATTCGTATTTTGTTCGTTAAAAATACGTTGTATGTCGGGCTTCACCTGCCGGGAAGGGACGCAACGCTTGCTACGATGATAACGCAGCGACCTGTTTTTTATTTGCTGCGCTTGATAACACAGTGATCTTTGTTTTTCATTATCTTAACTTTTAGCTGGCCGTTAAATGGCGCCACGAAAAATGTGTTTAATTCCATGTGTCGCCGTAGGGGGCCAGCGCGAAATAATCAGTTCTTTTAAAATAGCGCCTTATTTAAAATTCGATATCGGCAGACGAGTTGCGTCATTTATATCTTGCGACAAGCTTTCATCGTAATGTATTTAATAGATATTTATTTTATCAACAAATGGGGGGCAGAAACGGTGAAAGCTAACGTACGAAACCAGAGGGCAGCACAGGATGCGATCTCACGATCCTGCCCGTAAGCAATCTCCCAACTTATCTCTGTATGTGGGAGTTTAAATACCTCCAGATGTTTTATCGAAGCTTCACGTGCAATTCACACAATGGCATGTACCAAAGAATTCAGAATCTGAATTCTTTGCATGTACTAAGAAGCATGTATGTATATACTCGTTCTAACTGGATATGGCTCGTGTATGAGGACGTTTATGTACATACATATGTACTTAATGATTGCAAAAACATGTGAGGCACTTTCATACTCAGGAAGAATGAAGTCCACCGAATAGTCAGACATCAGTGTCTACTATGACATCCGAAAGGAAATATCGTAAAGAGGTTATCCTAATGCTGGTACTTAACAGATAGCATACTGGCGATAATCAGACATTGTATAAATTGACGCCTTGCAATCTTCTTTATCGCACAAATTATACAATCCTACAATGATCAGGTAGTAAAATTTCTTATGGTTCACGAATGCCATTTTCCTTGACTCTTGGACGTTCGATTAATAACTTTAGATATGTCAGATCTTTGTTTCAAGAATGAAAGTACAGTTAATCGGCACTAGAGACTAGTCAAAGAAATCTATCGGTTTCCGAGAACTATATATCCTTGACAGTTATGTAAGTTTTTTTTATATTGTGTGCAAGTGTATCGAATCATGGGAGAGGAGAATTTGTAGTCTCGCTCTATGTGCCTCAGCTGGAAACTTACTGTGCTTATAAAGCCTGATTTTCTTGTAGAATCCTAGTGGAGACTGGTGGAATATTATCCAGAACACAGTTTTGATCATTCTTTTGTTAACATGAACATAATGGAGAAGCAAACGGACCCGTTATGGCAGCTTCGTGTCGAAAGGCCTTTATATGAACAAGAGGTGCTAAATCAGACTTATCACTATGAGAAACCAAAAACCTCTTGTAAGTACAATTTTAAATTATATTTCAGTAAGCAAACACTCTTGGTATAATGAGATTTTTAATTTATATTTCAATAGTATCGAAGTATATTCATGCCTGCTTTAAGTCGGAGCATTGTTGGAGCTGTATCTTACATTCAGTACCAGCTCTAAACTGGCTGCGCAAATACAAATGGCACGAGGATTTTGTTAATGACGTCATTTCGGGCATTACGGTTGCTATAATGCATATACCCCAGGGTATGGCGTATGCTTTCCTTGGAAACCTACCTCCTGTTGTTGGTATATACATGGCATTCTTTCCTGTTCTCGTCTACTGTTTACTAGGAACCTCTAAGCATGTCTCTATGGGTAAGAATTGAATGTACAGAATTTTCTTAAAATATCTACATAACATATTTAATTATTTTTAGGGACATTCGCTCTTGTGTGTCTGATGACTGGGAAAGTCGTAACTGCGTATGCTACTCCTCAGGGAAAGATTCATGATCTCACAAATGGTACAAACTCGGCAATCGATACTAATACTGGTGAATACATGGAGGTGTACACTGCGATACAGGTTGCCACAGCTGTAACATTATTAGTTGGCATTTATCAGGTGAGTTTGTGAATCGTATATGAAGAGACAATTGACATTGGATTACCAGTATTCTGTTCCTTTATTTGCAGCTCGGAATGTATACCTTTCGACTAGGAATTATCAGTACTCTACTCAGTGAAACTTTGGTCAACGGTTTCACTACGGCAGCAGCAATATACGTTCTCACATCGCAATTAAAGGACATTCTCGGTTTAAAGATACCAAAGCAAAGGGGACTGTTCAGCCTTATTTTTGTACGTGTGCATTGAAGAGTTACGTGCCGAGGAGTTAGTTCTTCTCATTTTAATTTACCATTACATCGTTGTACTTTCCTTCCTCCCAGGCTTGTCTAGAAAAATGTTTTAAATGGACTCGTCTACCTGAAACTATTTAGTTTATCCCATTCTTAATATCAAACGATTCAAGAATAATTATTTTCCAGACGGTTGGCGATATATTTAGAGAACTTCCAAACACAAATGCTGCCGCTGCCATTACTTCCACAGTTTCGATTACCATTCTGACACTTAACAATGAAGTTTTAAAGGTATTGTTATGTTATCGGAAGTGATCTAAAATTGTTAACACCGTGCATCATACAATTTTTCTTTTAAATTTGACACAGTACTTAATTCATTTTAGCCGTGGGCCAGCAAGAAATGTAGTTTCCCAATACCCATTGAATTGATTGCGGTCGTCACAGGTACATTAATTTCTAATTATTGCAGTCTTCAAAGTACCTATGGAATCCAAACTGTTGGTGATATTCCAACAGGGTGAGTAAATAAAATGCTTAGGTACATCAACTAAAACTGAGTCTGGAATTTTTTTCGTAGACTGCCTTTACCGGAGTTGCCATCTCTGCGACTGGTATCAGTCATCGCGATCGATTGCATTTCCATCACTATGGTGTCGTACACGATAACTATATCGATGGCATTAATATTCGCCCAGAAACTTCATTACGAAATCGATTCAAACCAAGAACTACTGGCCATGGTAAGTTGGTCATTTAATTCCCTTGAATTAAGCTATCTTCTGTTTCCTTCAACCTTTTGTATTAATTAATTAATCCAGGGCACCAGCAACATCGTAGGATCTTTCTTTTCGTGTATGCCAGTGTCGGCGTCACTTAGCAGATCCTTAATCCAACAAACAGTAGGTGGAAAGACTCAGCTGGCTAGTATAGTATCTTGCTTGATACTTTTAGTGATCCTGATGTGGATCGGGCCATTTTTCGAGCCTCTGCCAAGATGTGTGCTAGCATCCATCATTGTAGTAAGTATTTGAAGAATATTTATCGTCTAATTCAACCTAAAGTTGAATCACTGGTTAATGACAAAGACGTCAGGAATATAAATTTATTCTCGTCTAGGTAGCCCTTAAAGGAATGTTCCTCCAAGCTAAGGAGTTGATCAAGTTTTGGGCACTGAGCAAATACGATGCAACAGTCTGGCTAGTCACTGTTTTCAGCGTGGTGTTCCTGAGCATCGACATCGGGCTCCTGGCAGGTCTGGTCACTTCACTCGGAAGTATTTTAATTCAGAGCATCAAGCCCTACACGTGTCTCCTTGGACACGTCCCTAACACCGACCTCTACCTAGACCTGCTTCGATACAAAGGAGTGAGTTTGCCAATAGAGAAACAATTTCATTCCGGTCTCCTCTCGGAGGGAATTCTCGTCCTTTCAAATCCTATATCGATATCTTTCTCTGATCTGCTTTCCCCAATTTTGTGAACAGACAACTGAGCTTTGCGGCATGAAGATCGTACGTTACTGCGGCACCCTCAATTTTGCCAACAGTAGTTACTTCAAGTCGGAGATGTTCAAGCTAGTGGGGGTGGTGCCACGGAAATTAATGAAACGTAGGCTAAAAATGGCGAAGATGTCTCTTCCGTTAGATCAGCAGGAACAAGAGGAGAAGGAGTCCGTCCGATGCATAATACTAGACCTTAGCGGCCTCAACTTCATCGACCCAAGTGGAGTTAGGGTTTTACACGGCGTCGCGACGGAGTTCAATAAAATCGAGGTGCCGATATACATTGCAGGTTGTCCCGGGCCAGTCTTCGAGTGCATGCAAAAATGTAGTTTGTACGAGAACTACAAGCCGGAGCTGAAACTCTTTGCAGCGGTGCACGACGCGGTATCGTTCTCCCAACACGAGTTGTTCTCCAAATGATTAAGCAACATGTTTTGGAGCATAATGGACAGCAGTTTACAGGATCAACTCATACCCATCGGAGTTCCTCTTTTGCAATAAGCGACTCAAAGTTAATATGTATAAACAAAAATTGGAACATGTACCAAGTTAGCCCGATTGGTACTTATATTTTGTACGAATTTATCTGACAAAGACTCGTACCAGGGTATAGTTAGTACTCTAGTAATTCGATTTTTCTACGAGGTTTTCACGTACACAAGCATGTTTTAATATCAACGTGATTATTACACGTGGCGATAGAGTTGCAGACGCTAGTTGAATCGAAACTCTGGTATGAATTTATGTAAGTACTTATGACTTTTACAGTCCACGAGTACTTTAAACGTACTTCAAGGTGCATAGAATGTTACTGCCATTCGTCAACGTTAGCAGAGGGTTACCGTGTAATTGATCCATCTCGCGTAGATTACCCTATTGTATTTGTAGATTCATAACACGGCTGTGTATAGTTACCAACGTAGCGCAATTAAAAAATGGAGAAACAATGCATCGACGTCTTCGTTATTGCACATCCGACCATCGTGCCAGCCAAGAGAAACCGAAATAGAAAGTTCGGCACACGTGACTCGGTTCTTGAGAAAATAAAAGCGTCCCTCGCGTAACGTTTTTCGTCCGTTTATTTCGGTTATCATTCTATTTACAGAGCGTCGATCAGCGACGCCGGCTCGTCGAGAGCGATAAGTCCGATCGGGACGAATCGGCGAGGACTCGTCAATTAACTTGAATCTGCAACTTCGGGATTACCTTCCTAAGCGATCCGGCCGATCGGCAATCAATGCCGAGCGTGAGCATCATGAATAGTAATGGTCGGAAATAAATATTTCGCGATAGAAGACGAACTGGGAGGTCGGGCAACGACGTCGGCCGTTCCGAATATGAGAGAACTGTTTGCGAAGGTAATCGAATCGTTCTAATTTGTCTTTCTAGCTCCGAATCCTCCCCGGGACGGGCGGAGGCGTCGGGACACCCGGGGATGCTCGGTGCAGTTTTAGGCGACGCCGTACTTCTTCTTCAGGGACTCGGGCATCTCCGGTGGTGGCGGACGCGGCATGCGAAGCCAGACCTTTACCGCGTCGTAGATGAACCATTGAGCGGCAGTCAACGTACCGATCATCACGATCCTGGGCGCGAGACCCTTCCACACTCCAGCGAAGCCGAGCTTCCTGAGGACGTCACCGGCCGTAGCACTCTTGTCTTGGTTTAGCTTGGATACCACCTGAATGAACAAAATTAATTAGCTACGAGTCAGAGTTGTTACCGCAACGCTTCGTCAAGGATTTAAGGATTCCCTTGAGACGGTATTAGCTGTCGAGATTATGTCACGTCTTCTGTTGACAGGCCGAGGTTTCGCAAATATTACGACTTACGTCATCAGGGCTTTCAGGTATTTTCTGGGCACTTACCGAATCGGCAGGATGGGACACGACAGCGCAGAAAACGCCAGCGATGTAACCAGCAGCAAATGTCACTACCAGCTGTTCACCCTTCGTACAATCCTGTCGAGGCTTAGGCACGACGTACTTGTACAGCAGCTCGAGGGTACGCTCGAAACAGGCGAACTTCATCATCGTGTACGGGATTTGTCGCAGCCATAGTGGCACCAGACCCTTGTAGAACCCACCGAGTCCCTCATCGGCGAACATCTTGGGCAGCGCCTCGCGCAAGGTATTCGCGTAGCCTGGCATCGTTTGAATCCTAACCTGAAAAAATAAAGAGAGAGGTTTTACACGATGGTTCTATATAAGATTTTTACAAACAAGACTCGGGAAGGTAAACTGCTCTCCGTATAGGATTGAGGTTTTAAAGTGATTCGGTTAAGGGAATTATCAAAGTGCTATCGCAACGTCGACGATTGCTTAATAGGAACGTACTTTTTGGTCAGGAACGAAGAAAGGAGAATCTCGAGGCGAAGGGAAATGTATTTAGATTTTTCAATCCTCTCACGAGACATCAATAACATTACCCGAACGTTCTTCATGTCTGTGAAATTAACGCATTTGTATTCGTTTGCTATGGAAGAAATAAGTAGCTCGTCGTATCTAGCGATAAATAATCCCTCTACCGTTTGACTCGACAGGAAGGTAATTATAGTTTTAGTTGAATTAATTATTAATTTCGCCGATTGGCACAGTACCTTGGCAGCTTCAAATGGTGCGAGACCAATGTCAGCGAAGAATTCCGCAGATGCAGAGGAGACTAGGTAAAGGGAAGTTCTGTACTCATAGGAGACTTCTTCACCAGCGAGAGCCGAGTAGTAGACCTTGAATACTTCGTACAGCCCAAACTTGAACATGCCCTGGATGGAATATCCAAAGAAGGTCGGGGCCCAGCCTCTAACCAATCCCTTGGTTCCATCTTCAGCCAGTGTCACCTATAAATGCATGGAAACACAGAATAAATTATACACATTTAATTTGAATAAATTTCAAATCAATGGGCAAAAGAGTAAAAAAAACTTACGCGGAAACCATTGACCACTGATTTGTACTTTGCAGAATCTACTTGAATACGGCACTTGACCAAGTCCAATGGCGTCACCATGGTATGGGTGATACCACAGGAAAGGATGCCACCGAGACCGCATAGCAGGAAATAATGGTTTGACCCAAACTCGCAGCTATCTGCAACAGAAAGCCAAATCATAGAATAAAAACAGATCATTGTGGCTTCTCCACTGTCATAATCTTTTAAAAACAGAACACCTTGAATCTGTCCTTGCGTTGCTTGATAATGACCTAGATATATACCTAATGTCGCAAAACGCTTGTGCAAAAACTGGTCAGTGTAGCAGAAATTGATTTTTTTCAGGCCGGAAGCTCCACAGAAGTGCTCAATGAGATTCAAAGACAAATCGAGCCGATTCGCCAACAATTGTAAATAATTATGGAAGATGTATAATTATGTTCCTTTGCATTGCATAAATGTGCAGAACCGGAAGCGGACGCGTCTTGTGACCGCACGTGACATCGAGGAATTCTCGAAGTCAAGGAACGCCAGTGTCAAGTAGTCGGAGGACAATTATATCTGAGGTACGACCCGTGGTTGGCACAGAGTCAAGGTTCTGCCTATTGATAAACAGCGCCAAGACCTTGTCCCAAATCAGTAATACCTTACACATTTGGACCCATTCCATCGGACAATCGATCACCCTGACAAACGATTGCTGATTCTGTCCTTTTTTTTATTAAAAAAAAGAAAGATTTATATAAATTACTCTAACGGATTAAAAGAATGCAGATGCAAATTGGGTAATTTTAAAAAAAAAAAAAAAAATTAATCAAACTGAAACATGACATTAAAATCTATTTAATATAATTTCTGGGACGAGCTTCTCACAAGTAGCGCTGCGTCTCGTCGAGTTAAAAATTATCCGGAGTTGACCATCTTCAGAAATTCATCCTGCAAGCCTCGTGGCAAGGCCACTAACAAGATGGCCGCCATTATGCAACCGCTGTCACCTCGCAAACTTCCTAAACCCCTAGCCGTCACAAGGTGTGAGAAACACTGTCAAACCTCGTTACATAAAACCCTCAATTCGACCAGATTAAGCCATGATTAAAAACCCATGAACCAATAACTTCGACTTTCGCCATATAGACCGGCGATCGATACCCGCACCCGGTGCGCCCCGAACCGCGTTGAGTCAGTTACATAATTTAACGGCAACCTCACCACATAACAAAAATCCCCCAATAAAAGATAGCCGACAAAACCCTAAAAAAACAGTGTAACAATTATACAGAAGGCAGAAATTCTCTCTACTTCCAGAAAATCCTGCAAGATCCGACTCCACACCCTTCAATGGCCGACATTTCTTTGAGGAACCATTTCGACCACTGGAGAAAAGTGACCCATGAATGAAACCACGATCTTTACGGGAAGAATGCTTTTAAAAAATGCCGAAACGAGGCTAACCTTACTTTCGACTCGGGCCAAGGAAATCTAAGAGGAATGGCTCGACAATTGAATGAATAAGTTCGTTATAAATGGGTGGAGATTTTTTAGGGTTATGAGAACTCACCACCGGAGGCGACGGAAGCGGCTGCGATGGTGCGATCCTTGACGAGCGCCTGGGTGTCTTGATGACCCTGACATTCGGCGGTCATAAACGGCGTACCAAACGGCGACTTCTTGGCGACTTCCAGCATGGACGACCACATCTTGCCTGAGGAGAACTGGGACTGGGTCTCTGCAAAAGATTCCTCGTCAGTCCCGGGTGTCGGAAGGCTAATCGAATTACCGTACGCGATACGACACCGACCCTTTGGTGACACGACACTCGCCTCCGCGCCGTCGAAAGAGAGTGGAAAACGGACGGGCGAGCTGCTTCCTCGAACAGGGTTGAACAGGGCCGGGTTACTACAAATGTCTAGAAAGGTGGAGGGCGTTCCGTTTCGATGCCACTCCGACACGGGTACAAGGAATACTGAGACTGACAACTGCAACGCTCGGGATATAGCTTTGAAGAAAGTTCCCCGGCCTACCCACAGATGGCAACCTAATAGGACGCGCGCAACTGAGTTCATAATGAAATTTAAAATATCGTAACTCTCGCTTCTCATTTTAACGGTAAAAAGTTCTATCCGTTCGGCTCGATATAACTTCTACAACACTTTAAAATTACGTTTATTTAGTTCCACACTATACATTAATCTGCAACATATTAATACTACATTTTAACACGTTATGTACTCTGATAAACACACTTACTTAAATTGGACCGAGCGTTGGATAGAAAAAATTATGTACTAGATTGATGTCCAACTTAATAGGGGTTTATTCACAAGTGATTTGAAATCTTATTTATAAAAAGAAAACGTAACAAAAGGGATATCCTATGACGTATCACTTTCTACTTTGAAATACCTGTTCGGTTCACTCTAGGGCAACACTTAAAGCGATGAAAGATTCTATCAATTTTCTCATAGAAATACTTCTATAATCATTCGTAGAGCATTGGCTAAATGCTCGATGTGACAACTCATCGATCGGGTTATTCATATACAGTCGTTGGGAATAGATTAGGAAATATCATACCCTTTCTACATCTATGTTCCACCGATAATGTGATATTACTGTCTTACATACGAAAGTATGCAAAAATGCAAATCTGTTTAATGTGAGAATTAGAACTCTGAGGAGGGTTGGAAGTCCTCGCCGTTATTACCATTATAATTCTTATCCTTATTCAACTTTTTGAAACATAGTGCCTTACGCACCAAACCGTAGAATGCTGCAGGTTTCAGATCTTCCTCCACTGCGGTAAAACGCCATCCCATATGTATATTGCAGCCCTGACAATTAACCACGATCCAGGCATATCTGGAAAGTTTAACGTTTTTAAAACTGGACGTAATCGGTAAAAAATTTTATTTAAATGAAAATCTGTGACGATACCCTGGGAACCAACTGAACTCTGTTGAAGGAGGATACCCATCAAAATTCAGGCCCTCTGCTGTGTATAATGTAACAGTATCAAAAATACGTCCAACGGGGTTGCAATAGGTATTCTGTGTCCCTTCTTTACTCATGGGGAACATGTCAGTACGTTTTCCAATGAAGCGATTGCAATGAGAGCATACGAGTACTTTATCCTGCAAGTAATTCTTCTTAATTTTTAGGAATCATGACTTCTTACATGGAGCCCTCACTTTGTTCTTGGATTATCTACATTCTTTTTAATAGTATCTAATTATTACTATGAGTACAGTTCTTACGTTAATCAAATACTTTATCTCTTTTTGCAGTCTAGGTATTGCACTGTTATAGCTCAATAGCGCAAGCTTTTCGTTATCATCGAGTACAAGATTTTGGGCAACCCAGAAGGATAATTCCATGGGATCCGATGGTATATTGATACCCCCTGTAAAAAATATCAGTTACATAAGAACGATTACTTTGAAAATTCTATGACAAATTATCATCGTCGAAAATAACTGATATATAATTTACTTTTCTGAATGAAGTGAAGATATCTCCTAATTTTTGTAGAGAGCCTCTTGGCATCATATTGTCTATATACCCAGGCAGGGAAAGGAGTCATGGCTGCTTCGGTTCTTTCTAATTTATTTCTTAGTTTGGCTTCTTTTTCATTTGTTGGATCTACTCGTAAGTGGTCTAATGATACTAAACGTTCGTCAAAATTTGCTGGTCCAAGTGTTTCTTCTGGTAATATTTTCACGTATGCCGTTTTACTACCTCCCTGAATTAAATATTAGTAAAATAGATGAAATAGTAAAAAATGTTTGCAAGTTACCGATTCTTGATGAAAACATTACAGACTATTAAGAAGTAAACAGTACATTAAATAAACGAACCTGCGAATTAACTTTCAGAATTTTAAAACGCTGTCTGCCTTTCGCTTTAATTTGAAATCTTTGAGCCTCACTTGCTATCGTATATTGGTATATTTCCGCAGTTGTACCAATTGATACAGGTTCGTTCATACGTAAGCAGCAAACTCCAAAAGTTCGATTGCCTAGAATACACTTTTGTAGCATGTTGAAAGTTTCGACATCGGACACAGTCATCGGTAAAGTTTGTCCAGGGAATAAAACTACCGAATGTTGTAACAGCAGAGGTAAAACGTTAACTCCATTATCCAAGATAGTCCGTCCCCGTAGATCTTCTAAATCATTACCTAAATACTATGCAAAGAAGTAAAGGAATTACAATTTTCAAACGAATTTGAGTTACGTCCTATCCGAGTATAAGGAATGGAAAGAAAATCTCATTCCTAACGCTCTAATTTGAGAAACAATGTGATTCTTAGTTTATTCTATTTACCGAATGAGAAGTAGGAAGGGTTAAATCAAACGTGCTGTCTACTGGTTCCTCATCTGCATCGGCATTCAATTCCGAATATACCCCTGCTGCATCTTGCCCTGTGGAACCGAAGAGAGCTGATAAAACATTTTCTTTAAAAATTTCTACGGTAACAATTAGATTAAAACAAACCTACTAAAAAAAAATACGGAACTGTGTCGTAAACCAACGAACGTAATCACATAATCACCGCGTTAACACAGAGCATGCCCACAGTAGCTGACGACATGGAATGCATATAAAACATCCGTATATTTTCATAACATTGTCCAAAAACATTCAGTGTAGGCACTTGATAAATACAGAACAAAACATAACCTGTAGGAAAGTGAAAGGACAACATGCGTCGATTCCAGGTGGAATATCGTAATACCTGAGCAATTCGTTTCCTGGGAGTCATGGGAATCTTCATCGCTTTCAACAAAGTCGCTCATATTCCACGAAATCCTAATCTGAAAACTGTTAACCGGACCTACATTCGCAGAAACGTCACCGAACGACACAAGAGCATTAAGTTAATTCAATCAGAGAGGAGAAAAGCGCTGATTCTCCAGCCAATTGCGTCGCCGGAAGAGTACCCGTGCTGCTTCGCATTTGTTTATAAGCAGTTTATCATCTTCCGTGCACATAGTTCTTACTACATAAGATAGGCATTGATAAAATAAAATATGAATACAGCGTGATTTAATGTGTTAAACACCAGAAGGAGAAATTTAATCATAATTAAATTATAGTTTTCAGCTAGTTCACTGATCGGTGTTATCCTTGGGGGATAAGATTATCCTTAGGGATCAGGTTACTTAATCCATCCGTTCTGAAAGACCACGCTCGGTATAAACTTACCTTAAGCGCCTGTCTCACTGAGCGCGTCGCGTTGACGCGTTGAGGATGAACGACCAATTAAAATTTCAGCTGGGTGACGCTTGGATCCAAAAGCAATTCTGATTGGTCGTTGATCCTCGACGTGTTGACGCGCTACACCCGTGCGATACTAGACATTTTCTGTAAAACCGCGGCCATACGTGTCCGTGCGTGTCCGTTTCGCGAACGGAAGGCGGTGACAAGTGGTGACAGGCGCACTGGCAGTTGTTGGCAGGCGCAAGCAAATAACCTAGAAGCAACCGCCCTTCAGTCGATTATTCTGACGAATTGAGAACGCGGAGGCACGGCGACGATCGCAGGGCGATTTGAGTTAAGCTTCGTTCCCCTGGTTCTTGTTCACCACGTCGAGTGGCCTAGTAATCAGTCACGACGCCCCGGGGACCAGAATTAGTTAGATCGGCTAGCCGAGGATTCCAGGAAAACCCCACAATGAGGTACGTTCACGTTGTTTTCGTCCACCCGTGACCAAGAAGTTGTTTATTTCTATTTCGGGATCGGTTAGCTGTGCCCGGCGTCGAGCGCGGTCGGCCGGCCATTTTGAAGTGCCGAACAATGACATGGTCAATGCCTCCAAACCCTTCCTCGTTTCCTCAATATCTTTGGGAAGCTTGTCCTTGGATTTAAAGTGACGCGGCAATGTTTTGAATTCGCAGTACAAACGGGAGAACTCAAATGACAGCGGTGAACGACAAGAGGCCTGCACCACCACCGCCCCGTACGCAGCCAGAGTCTTCGCCTCAGCATTTTGACCTAATTAAATACATTTATGCCTGTAAGACTTATTTCTACCACATGTCGTACACTGGGTTAGATAGGTTACTCATTTGTCTTATTTCTGCTTGACGTAGCTTGGAATTCAGTGTCCAGAGAGCTGGATACGTGTCACGAACAACCGAAAGGAGATTCGTCGGATTACAGGACAGGCGCTACTGTTACATACTACCGGGAGCATGAACCGAACCCAAAACTCAAAGGTAAGGGGGATATAAGGAGATAAAAATGTAGGAATTATCGGAAACTTATTTGTCCTTTATTGTAGACTTCGAGCCGTTCGATCTGGAAGCCTGGTGGGGTCAGCGGTTCGTTCAGAGGTTCACGAGGAACAGAAGTTCCTAGTGCCGAACATTGATAAGAAGTTGAATGGGATTCCCAGTCGCTCCATGGAATGTTCTTGTTTATTTATGGAAGGAATTTAAGCTATAGGGAATGCGGTCGCTACTTTTATGGCGGAACTGGAAAAAAAAATGTACGAATCTATTCCTTTTTCTAGACGCAAGTGCTTTTGACTTTGGGATGCACGATCCGTCTCCAAAGGTTTAGCTTCTTAGTAGCACCGTACAACCCTCTGCCAAGAAAACAGAATCCGACTCTGATCGAGAGACCTTGAACGTAATGCAAAGTGATTCGTAGTGCGAGGGAAGGTGGGGGTTTCTTTGTCGGTCTTTACAGGGAATTTTGCAAGATTTTTCATAATCGATGGCTTATCGTTGACTTCACTCGAAGGATCAAGACACGGTTATCGATAAGGTACTATCCAGTAATGTTTTTAATGACGAACAACAATTGCAAATGGCGTATCTGTGGGAACTCCTTTCTTCTTCCCCGATGTCACGGAGACCATGGACCGTTGTCATCTTGCCAGAGACTCGACGCAGCGAAAATAATCGGCGCTGCTTTCCAGAAATCCAGGATTTTCTCTGGGATCGAAGAAGCAGCTGGCTCGTTCGATCTCTTCGCCTCGGAGTTGAGCTACGGTGCGTTCGAGCGAGCGAAGATTTATCTTGATGGCACGTTTCTCGCCGTTCGACATCTGGCGTACATAAAATTGGGGTGAAAGGAGGAAATGTAAAGGAGGCCAATTCCATCGCCCTGAGACCCTTAGGTTGTAATATTTAACTGCGGTTAGAATAAAAGGAAGAATTGAGATTACACTATTGGCCGAGTAAACGAAAAGTTTCAAGGAGTCAATTAAAAGTTCGTGTACCGAGGTTTTTCAAATTCAAATAGACACTCTTTTAGCACCGGGAATGACATTCCTGACAGTTCGAAAGTATGTCAAGAATTAATCTCAAAGCTTTGAAGCGGTTCAACGATTTTAGCGTCGTAACGAGATTGACGTCTCCGCTGCGTAGATTATAAGAAATTTATAGAGTCGTAAATATTCCAGGAACAGCTTATATGTGTTAACGATGTTAATACCAGGGCCTCTCAGCTTTTTACCGAGAAGTTAGATTTCAGTGAAAAATAGGAATTCGAAGAATATCGTAGTTCTACATTTTCCGATCATCACCGTAAGTGACACTTTTATCAGCTTCGACCAGGTTCTTTTATTAATTAGGGGAGGCGGAATAACGCAAAAAGAGGGATCAAAGCTCAAAAGCGTCGCTTATTGCGTTAGACACGACCCATCTGAAATTGAATCTCCCATTTTAACATATTCCCTGCGAGTCCTGCGACCCCTCCCGGAGATAAAATCTTCGCCTCGGATAGATCATTTCAGTGTCGCAATAAATTTTATAGCGGAGTACTCGTTTAGAGGAGAGCACGTTTTATCCAATTTTTCGATTTACACTTCACGTTAAATGAAATAAAATCGACGCTGGTAACAGTATCCATCGACTTATCTCTTTCGCATTTAATTTCTCCGCGGACTTATCGATTGATCCTCATTTCTTCCCTCTTGCCATGCGTGTTTCATTTTAAGCTAAGTCTTAAAGTGTTGAACTGTAGCCGGAAGTGACTGTAGCCCTTCTCCGCCTTGCGACTTCAAGCTCTCAAAAGAGCTTGGCGAAGTTGGACCGAAGCTCGAACAAGTTCCCTCGAAGGCCCTCCAGCTCCTCCACGAGGACTCTGTACAAGAAGTCGCCCTCCATCGCGGGGAAAGAACTCCCCGGTCGGCAAATCTGGCTGCAAAGAAGAGAGTTTAAATGGATTTCGCCCCGTGACAGTTCCTAAGGACTGAAGTTTGCAGTCGAGGGAGGGGAATTCCTCTGTTTCGTTTGCTGATCAAGAGGGGGTCGCGGCTTGATTAAAAGGGGCGGCTGGCTCTCGCACGTGAATACCTCGATGGGAGTAATCGGATACGAAATTCGGTATCTACGATCGCCGATTCGCAGGGGAACCCGTTGATCTCACGGAGTCGAAACCCGATGGCGATAGCCCGAAGAATGCGCCCCTCGCGTTCCGCTTCAACTTTCAGACGTCGGAAGAATTCCAATTTACGAAAGATGGTCTCTCCACGGGTTTCCATTGGTGCCTCGAAAGAGGGAATCTTCCGGGTCTGAAGTTCCGGCAGCCAACCCCCGTGGGAAAAATTTCCCGATTTCGATTCCGCGGTCGCGCCCTTTGATGTCCGTTTATCTCCTCCGTAGTTCGCTCGAGCGAGGGCGAGGCTCTTTGGGGGGAATTCTTAATTGTGAAATACTTTGAAGAGTTATCTAAGTATTTATTGATAGAGCTGATTAGGGTTACTCGAGTCGGGTAGTCCTGCAGCTCCTGATTGCGACTCCACCCGCTCCCAATTTGGTTAACAAAGTGGTTCGCCTCGGTTAATGGGCGTCGACGATTCGTTCAATTGCAGGATTCCTCGGCTCCCTCTCTTCCTCTCTTACCTGATAACGGATAACGCCATATTGCGTTTCCCTTCCAGGAGGTAACGAGGAGTTCCCGCTCGTTAAGCGAAACCGGAAGTATCGGCGATTCGTTCCTGCCCTCTCCGATCCTTCACGGATGCCAAGGGCGTGGTCGGCCAGGGTCTTCGGATGCAACAGGTCGGAAACTAGGACCCCGAGGACGATAACGGCGTCGCGACGCCCTTAAGCCCCCGAGAAAGGATTCTGACCGAGAGATACCGCCGAGACGATAGGCCGAAACTTGTCCCCCTCGAGGGAGTCCGCAACTTGAGAGGAGTTCTCAGGAGCCGCGAAAACGACTCCCCGAGGGGGTATTATGACGCTCTTCGAGTACCCGACCTTGAAGAGAGACTTACGACCCGGAGGAAAAATCCGTAAGCCCGAATCCACCACTCTCTACAAAATCTGCCCCACGTAAAATCCATAAAACTCGGGATACTCATTTTTCGAGGACCAAGTAAATCCCCTCGTTCCAGAAATTTCACAAGGTGCCCTTCTTCAAGGACCTCCTTCGAGAGGTATTCACCGAGCGACCCTCTGCTAAGCCAACCTCACACGAAATCTCGTGATATCTCCGATGGAATAATCTCGGTATTTCTCGACGGAGAAGAGGTGAGTGGAGATTCTTTAAGAGATATGTTTTTTTTTTCTTTTAGCGCCAGGTATCGAGAATTGCGAAGTACTCTGCCGGTAATGACTTCGATGCTTGTTCCAGGCCCGCAGGATTATCGGGAAAGGATGCGTCTCCGGCTCGGTGGGGTCCTGGAAGGGCGAGTTACCGCGCTCGGAAGTCCTCGGGACCAGGACGCCTCTCCAGCATCCGGAGGCGATGCATCGGCCCGATCCTTCGCAGGACGCGTGCGCGGGTGCAAGATCGGGAAGGGGAGGACCTCTCTTCCGCGTCTCCGGAGCGGACTGGCCTGCAGTCGCGATCAGTTCCGCGAGGCGACCGCGGGTGGTGCCACCCCCGCTTGCATCCGCCACCAGCAGCGCACGCCCGAGACCTTCGAGACGCGAGTGCCGAGCCTTACCGCGTCTTGCCGCGTCCTGGGACCCACCGTCGCCCACCACCTCGCCGACACGAGCCTCGACCTCCCGAAGACGACGTCGATGGGCGCAAATTCGGCGCTCTTCAACCCCTGAGACGCGGTGCATGGTAACCACCCTCGCGTCCTGCCGGCGCTTTCCTAGTTCTTACTCCATTTTTTCTTTCTCTCTCTCTCTCGGATGAAATAATCAGGATCATCGGGAAATTTCCGAGTATCAGACCTCAGGGTGGAGGAGGTTTGAATACGAGTTTCCCTCGAGGTCGAGTCGATTTCTTGTATCGTAAGAAAAACAAATAAAGAAAATGGACTCGAGGAGTGGTCGCTGGTATTCTTTACGCCACTGCTCGTGTAACTCGATTTACCTTCTCTCGCCGTTCCGCCGCTCTCGTTATTTATTTATTTCCGGTCTTAACGAGGGGACTGCCGGTCGACACTCGGTCTCGCCCGAGTGGCCGAGAGCCGCCGGAAAGGGAAGTCCTGGAAAAAGGAGACCGTCGGAAGTCCTCCCGTCTTCTTGAAGAACTATGATAACAATGCGAATCTTGGTATAGCAAACGCGGTCTCGAGGCGGCTTGAATGGAGCATCTCGTTCGCGCCTCGTTATCGCCGAGAAAATGTTTAATCGTCTACTCGGGACGAGATTAATCGAGCTCGGATTAGGGCAGGAGGCGCCGGTGGTGCGGCTTTTAACACTTTTCTCCTTTCGCAACGGTCTAAAGTTTATAATCGGCTTTAATTAGATCCCAGCCGGCTTGGCGAGGCTTTAATCCGCAGTTAAGGGATGACGAGCGGTTATTTAACGGACGGTTTCGCCCGACAAAGCGGGAAATTCAGCGACGCGTCCTCCCCCTCCGGGTTTTTTTTAAATACTGCCCCCAAGTGCGCGGACGTCCGAATAAACGCGTTATCCCCGTCAGTCCTTTCGCGGGATTTCATTCTTTCTTTTTTTTTTACCCTCCCGCCGGTAAACCGTTCACCACCGTATGCAAATGCCAAGTGGGGCTATTTATTATTAACTCGAATACCGCGCCAGGCTGTCGGTATCACTTTCCTCCCCCGTCTCTCCGCCCCTCGCGGCCATTCGTCACATCATAAACGAGCGGGAGAGATAACAGCGTACGTGGACGCCCGTCGAGTGCTCTCATAGGCAATGCTTGGATATCCGTATCGTGGAGTCGCTGCTGAACGGCGAGGAAAATAAATGCACCGAGTAATTAGATCCCAATCGGCGACGATCGCGGGGGTGAATGCAAATTAGCCTCGCGGGGCGCGCTTTTCGCGTCTTGGCGCGATCGAGGGCTCCGAGCTTTGAGCGAGGAGGGCAATTAGCTTCGGGAAACTGGATTTCTGGGGGAAAGAAATTCAAGGGAGCGACTCGGGACGGAAAACTCGGAGCGAGATGGGGTGGAACACGAGAGAGGGTGAGAGAGAACGTCTCGTTTCTCCGCAGCGGTGCGAGCACTCGGGAACAGAGACCCGTCCTTTCGCGGCTACGCGTTTAAAGAGCCAGATTTAAATGCCCCTCAACCCGCGGAATGGATTTCCCCCGTGGGGGGCACAAAGGGGGGTGCTTTTTCCCGAGGCTTTTATAGATCCTTCGGAGGGCTCCGCGAAAAGCTCCCTTTTTGCGCCCACTCGGCGGTGCCGGAAAGCCCAGGTTTTTCGGGAGAATTCCGGATGCCAGGGCGAGGAGAAAGAACCAGACGGGATAAACAGAAAAATTCTTCGAGAGCCCTTGGACGCGAAATAAATCCTCCGAGGCACTCGGAGGACTCCGAGGGGTCTAGGGGCGAAGGAAGGATCCGAGGCGTGCGATCTACCGACTCGTCCTTTTTGTCTTTTTGTCCGTTTCCTTTTTTCCTCGCACGTCGAGAGGCAAAATGCCAGGAATCAAGAGACGAGCCGCGTACGGGTAATTCCCGGTTACGATCCGGCGAGCTCGCTCGATCGTGAAACCCGATTTAATCGTCAAAGGGGGGATCGATCGATCGCTCCCAAATTGCCATTTATATTTCCCACGGCCGGCGCAATGGCGGGGCACTAACGCGCCCGATGTTGTTTCGTTTCGCTCGAATCGGAGGTTCGATGGATGGCCAGGAGGGTAAGGAGAGGATGACAAAGGATGGTTTAAAATTCGCTGATACGCCCAACCTGTCCCGATTGCAGCCCTGGATGCGCCGTATCGGATGCACCCCGGGTGCATGGACCCTTCCTTCCTCTCCTGGTTCCGGACTCCCCGGAACTTCGTTCTGGGTTATCGGACGAGGTATTTACAGGCCATAACGATAAATTCCGAGCCGAGCTCCTCGGTTATTCCTGGGGGTCCCTTCGAGCGGTCACCGAGGTATGGGATTGCCCTCGGATGGAGCCCTCCAGGAAATCCCCGGAGGAACTCGCGAAAACCGGGCCGAGCACGTCGAACGGTCGGCCGTGAATCACTGGGGGAGATTAATGTCGCGCATCCGCGGAATAATATTTTCGATTAATATTTCGCTGCGGATCTCCGTGCGCCTCGGTGGGAGCGCATTGATCGAGGTGTAATCCGCGCGTAACGAGCGGGCGCTTTGTCGCGCGTAGCTTTGTTCCTCCACCGAAACGCCGTGGAACTTCCGGGGTGCTCACCGGCCCTCCCTTTTCCATCGGCAGTTCGACGTCGAGCTCCTCGTTACGGGGCTGCCGAGGAACGGCGAGAGAGTCGAGGCTGGTTTACGTAACACGGGGTGCCCTGCCCGATATTTTGGACTCGGTCCCGAAGAGCGGAAGTAATAGGAAAAATGTTTTAAGATAATGGATCCTGAAACATCGAGGTCTCCAGAGGGTCAGGACCTTCCTCGGGGCTTAAAGTTATTAGGTGGGAAGATTTCGAGGGATTTGGTACTCCCAGTTTGGAGGAAAGTTGCATAACCGATCGACTCCTCGGATGTCGGTTT